AGAGACCCTGGGATAAATTGTATATTTTCTTCCTATTCAGACTTCAGGCCGAAGCCATCTACATGAGGCAGTTGGCGGTGGCTCTCCACTCGGCTGCAGAATAGGAATTGATCAGCCCAGCCTTGGCAGCTCGAGGTCTGCATTATGGAGACTGAGATGAGAGGCTTTTCCTCTCCGGGCCTTATTGGGTTCTCTTTGTGTCTGCAGAGTCTCCACACAGCAGTCTGGAGGCCATGGTGGGGAGCGGGGGTATGAGATGGCATTGAGAGATCAGGAGAGCAGTTAGCACTCTGAGTTAGAGGTGCTGAGTTGAGTTGGAAAGTTAGTGGTGAGAGGAATTGGGGAGCCTAATGCCGAACACACACAGAAAGGTTCTCTGTCCTTCAGTGTTTTTAATGTCACGTGTTTGTAGCAGAGGTAGTTCACGGAGCTAGCGTCATCTGATGAGTCACTTTGCTCAAAGCTTCCAGCTTTAAAGCCTTGGCTTCGACTCAGCGAGCTAACAAGGTCTTGTTGTGCACTGAAAACCTGAGCTTGAAACTGTGGGGAACAGTGCATGATATCCAAGGTTATTATGTTGTTGTTTGTTTTTCTAAATGAAACAATGAAACTCCCACAAGGTGTTAGTGCCTTGGAGTGTTATTATTTGATGCTTGTCAGGCCATCACAGTACAGCCCACCTTAATACAAGGTCAGGAGACCTCTGTAGAGATCCGACAGGTGACAGAGTGTGAATGAGAGATCAAGTGAAGGGTGTGAAAGGGAAAGTGTGTGTGACGGAGGATGGAGGTGTGAGAGGGAGATTGTGAGGTTGTTAGGAGGAGTTGCGGTAGATGGATGAAAGATCTACATTTACATTTACATTTACATCATTTAGCAGACGCTCTTATCCAGAGCGACTTACAAATTGGTGCATTCAACTTAGGATAGCCAGTGGGACAACCACCACTGGGGGAGGGGGGGTGTAGAAAGATTACTGTTATACTATTCCAGGTATTCCTTAAAGAGGTAGGGTTTCAAGTGTCTCCGGAAGGTGGTCAGTGACTTCGCTGTCCTGGCGTCGTGGGGGAGCTTGTTCCACCATTGGGGTGCCAGAGCAGCGAATAGCTTTGACTGGGCTGAGCGGGAACTGTGCTTCCGTAGAGGTAGGGGGGCTAGCAGGCCAGAGGTGGATGAACGTAGTGCCCTCGTTTGGGTGTAGGGTCTGATCAGAGCCTGAAGGTAAGGAGGTGCCGTTCCCCTCACAGCTCTGTAGGCAAGCACCATGGTTTTGTAGTAGATGTGAGCTTCAACTGGAAGCCAGTGGAGTGTGCGGAGGAGCGGGGTGACATGAGAGAACTTGGGAAGGTTGAACACCAGACGGGCTGCAGCGTTCTGGATAAGTTGAAGTGGTTTAATGGCACAGGCAGGGAGCCCAGCCAACAGCGAGTTGCAGTAATCCAGACGGGAGATGACAAGTGCCTGGATTAGGACCTGTGCTGCTTTCTGTGTAAGGTAGGGTCGTACTCTGCAAATGTTGTAGAGCATGAACCTGCAGGATCGGGTCACCGCTTTGATGTTAGCGGAGAACGACAGGGTGTTGTCCAGGGTCACGCCAAGATTCTTTGCACTCTGGGAGGAGGACACAATGGACTTGTCAACCGTGATGGCGAGATCATGGAGCGGGCAGTCCTTCCCTGGGAGGAAGAGCAGCTCCGTCTTGCCGAGGTTCAGCTTGAGGTGGTGATCCGACATCCACACTGATATGTCTGCCAGACATGCAGAGATGCGATTCGCCACCTGGTTATCAGAAGTGGGAAAGGAGAACATTCATTGTGTGTCATCTGCGTAGCAATGATAGGAGAGACCATGTGAGGATATGACAGAGCCAAGTGACTTGGTGTATAGAGAGAATAGGAGAGGGCCTAGAACTGAGCCTTGGGGGACACCAGTGGTGAGGGCACGTGGTGCGGAGACAGATTCTCGCCACACCACCTGGTAGGAGCGACCTGTCAGGTAGGATGCAATCCAAGAGTGAGCAGCGCCGGAGATGCCCAACTCGGAGAGGGTGGAGAGGAGGATCTGATGGTTCACAGTATCAAAGGCAGCACATATGTCTAGAAGGATAAGAGCAGAGGAGAGAGAGTTAGCTTTAGCAGTGCGGAGAGCCTCCATGACACAGAGAAGAGCAGTCTCAGTTGAATGACCGGTCTTGAAACCTGACTGGTTTGGATCAAGAAAGGCATTCTGAGAGAGATAGCAGGAGAGTTGGCTAGAGACGGCACGCTCAAGAGTTTTGGAGAGAAAAGAAAGAAGGGATACTGGTCTGTATTTGTTGACATCGGAGGGATCGAGTGTAGGTTTTTTGAGGAGGGGTGCAACTCTCGCTCTCTTGAAGACGGAAGGGACATAGCCAGCGGTCAAGGATGAGTTGATGAGTGAGGTGAGGTAAGGGAGAAGGTCTCCGGAAATGGTCTAGAGAAGAGAGGAGGGGATAGGGTCAAGCGGGCAGGTTGTTGGGCGGCCGGCCGTCACAAGTCGCAAAATTTCATCTGGAGAGAGAGGGGAGAAAGAAGTCAAAGCATAGGGTAGGGCAGTGTGAGCAGGACCAGCGGTGTCATTTGACTTAATAAATGAGGATTGGTTGTCGTTAACCTTCTTTTCAAAATGGTTGAAAAGTCATCCACAGAGAGTGAGGAGGGAGGGGGAGGAGGAGGTGGCAAAGAGCTTCCTAGGGTTAGAGGCAGAGGCTTGAAATTTAGAGTGGTAGAAAGTGGCTTTAGCAGCAGAAACAGAGGAAGAAAATGTAGAGAGGAGGGAGTGAAAAGATGACATTCCGCAGGGAGTCTAGTTTTCCTCCACTTCCGCTCGGCTGCCCGGAGCCCTGTTCTGTGAGCTTGCAATGAGTCGTCAAGCCACGGAGCAGGAGAGGAGGACCAAGCCGGCCGGGAGGATAGGGGACATAGAGAGTCAAAAGATGCAGAAAGGGAGGAGAGGATTTAGTTGCTACAGTACTGCTAGCTGGTAGTGTTGGCTAGCTAGCAATGGCTGCGGTGTTGACTTTGTTTGAAAAAACGGCGTCGCTGCGAACGAATGTAGCTGGCTAAAATGATATTGTATTTAGTTGCTACAGTACTGCTAGCTGGTAGTGTTGGCTAGCTAGCAATGGCTGCGGTGTTGACTTTGTTTGAAAAAACGGCGTCTCTGCGAACGAATGTAGCTGGCTAGCTAACCTCGATAGTTTCTCTATACTACACCTTTATCTTTGATACAAAGACAACTATGTAGCTAGCTAACATTACACTAATGAAATCGTTCCATTGTAATGTAATGTGTCATATTACCTGCGGAGCGAAGTACAGCATGACTACTCACTCCAGGAGCCACCCATCACAGACACCAGACATACAACAACTAGAGTGAAAGGAGTGTTAATTAGGGGTGGCCTTCAGTAGACCATCTCTCTTGTTGCAATCATGTTACTATTCATTTTAGCGTGTTTACGGAAGCAAATTTCTGCCCAATAAATTGTAGTCTATTTATTTGTTATTTTAAATATATGTATGTTTTAAGAATAAGCGTTTCAGTGGATCACAGAATATCACTCAGTAAAACAATGCCAAACCTCTCTCTCAGAGTGCAGTCAAATCATTCCAATCCATTAATAAAACAAAAGCCTATTACATCAATAACCCAAAGTCACCCTACCTGATCCACCTCTCAAACTAATTCAATTGAACAAATCAATTGTCTTTGTTCCCGAGATACTGAAACAGAACCATGAAAAAGGTCAAGTTTTTAATCTTTGCTCCGAGTCGTGTTTTCTTTGAAAACAAACAGCTTTATTCTCCTCTCTTCAGGCTAATTATCAGAGTCCAATCTGCAGGTAACCTTGATGCTCCTTTGGTGACTGGTCCTGACCATATACATACTCACACACACATACACACACACACAGCACAGCTGCAGGATTTCACCGCTGTTGGCTGATTTATTCTGTATTTTTAGATGAGAGATCACAACTGCTGTCAATGTTTCGCTGTTGATTGCTTTCATTGGAACAATGGAGACAGATTGGACACAATAGGCAGTGGAAGCATACTGGTAATTAGCGAAAAATAAATAACGATGAAGCAGAGTGGTGAAAATCCTGCGGCGAGTGAGGTTGTTCACACCATTTGTTCACACCATATCATGTTTAACTGATGTTTCAGAAAACGATATAACACAGCCATGGTTGTTGGTGTGTGTGTGTGTGTGTTTGTGTGAGAGTGTGTGTATGCGAGTGTGTATGTGTATGCATGTGTCTGTCTGTGTGTGTGTGTGTGTGTGTGTGTGTGTGTGTGTGTGTGGATGTGTGTGTGTGTGAATGTATGTATTTGTGTCTTTAATCTCAGTTTAGCCTACACAGTAGAATGCTACCCAAACAGACCTATTCCAGCCATTCCAGCCAGTCAGTATTTGGATGTTTGTGATGTTTCACTCAACACACAGTTGTCCTGATCCCCTCATTAAAGTGTCCAGTCAATCAGTTTAGCTGAAATCAATCCGTTCAGCTGAAATCCTAATCTGGCCTGTCACTTAAGGCTGAGGCAGGAGACTCTAGCTTGGCCCTTTGAAAGCAGGGGATAGCAGCGCCACTCTACCTACCATGGGATTGACCCCCAGGCCTGCAGCAGCAGGACTGATGGATGGCTGAGACTCAAATAGTATGAAATCAAGCAGACATCAGTTTTCATTGCATGCTGGGCCGTAGAAATCTGTTTAGTACTGTAGGCCCTTCTGGACTGAAGGCAGGATTGGCAGCCCATATCAAAGTTTGAGTGTTCCCAAGAATAGGACCATCTCCTAATGTTTATTTTCCCCCTGTGTTCCTCAAATAAAGCCATGACCCACAGTTTAGAAACATGGCCTATTTTTTATTTTACTTTCATGTTGTCTGTCTGTGGAGAGTTTGGAGAGGTATTTACGCTGTGTGTTGTCAGAGTCTAGACCATCCATATTTCTGTATGTGTTTTCAGCAGTACCCTATCAGAGGAGAGTCAAGAGGTCCTGCTGAGCCCAGAGGTCACGTACGGTCCGCCGGGCCTCGACCTCTCCTGCCCCGTCGCCATGACAATAGCCCACTGCGCTGAGGTCACCGCCGACAACTGGAACATCCGGCTCAAGAGGCAGACGCAGGATAACAAGTGGGAGGTGAGGTTATCCTGAAAACATTTCAGAACATTTAGAGGAACAATAAAACATTTCTCTGCACTTCACTGGGAAAAAGACTATGTGTAACTTTTCCTTTTATAATATCTTTGAGATTATTTAACCGGAGTTGAAGTAAACACCTTAAAATGCGTTCCAGATGATACTATCGCTGGCTGCTATATTCAAAACATGCCTGGGATTATGTGCCGTCTATTTAAAATGTTACGGTTATTTTCCACAACTTTGCTTGCTGCGTGGGCTGTTAATGTGCAAGGAAAATGCCACCCAATATGCCCACATCCAATGAAACATTTCCAAACACTAGACTGAGACAACAGTTGATTTTGATTTCTTTGTTCCATGCACTTGATTTCTTTGTTCCAAAGGTGCTATGTAGAACCTTAAAAGGTTATTTGGCTGTCCCCATAGGAGAACCCTTTGAAGAACCCTTTTTGGTTCCAGGTAGAACCATTTTGATTCCAGATAGAACTCTTTTTGAACCAAAAAGGAACCAAAAAGGGTTCTACCTGGAATCAAAAAGGCTTCACCTATGGGGATAGCCGAAGAACCCTTTGGAACCCTTTTTTCTAAGAGTGTACAAAAAATCCAGGAGTATTCAGTGTTTACCTTGTCTTTTTCCCAAAAACTTTGAACTGAGAATAGGATAGAATCACAATCTCAATTCCACACATTCTGTTCTTCATACTGACTTGTCAACCTCTATTCCACTGAGGTTCATTGAGCTGCCAGTTGGGAGGAACTATTTCACTAACCCATGTTAGCATGGACTTCTTTGAAAGGTAGTGAAAACTCAAGTCTATGCCTTCTCTTACAGTATGTGGTCCTCCTGACCGCTAGCCCTTTGAATAGCACATAAGCCTCTCAAAAAAGCCCTTGAACTCTGCCTTTCTGCCTCTTATAACTTCCATCTCGCTCTCTCTCTGAGGGACTCCCTCGTTCTTTCGAGCTATGAGCTCCAACATCAACCCACACCCTCCATTTTTCTCCATCAATCCACCTGTCTATCCATTCCAGCAGAGGTATCGCCAACATTCTGTTAATGTATAACTAACCTCATCAAAGGAGCTATGGAAAGCGACCGGGACCTCATCTAGGCGGAGGTGACCCCAAAGCTCAGAGCTCTTTGTGCCTTGCGGTGGGCCCATGACGCCCCAAGGCCTGGGCCTATTCACAGCCTATGGCATTTACACAGGATGTAATTTGCCGGCGAGAGATGCTCGGCGCTCAAAAGGCAGCTATCAAAACCAGCCCCACCGCCTGAGTTTTGGGTGCTGTGTAGAGAATAGGCGCCGGACATGCAGAGAGAAAATTGGTATTCCCTAATGGAAAGAGAAAGATTCCCCTCTAGAGAGTGCGAAGCGGAGGGTCCCTCTCTCTTTGCCCTGTGAATGAGCCATGCCCGACCTGCCCCCTCTTTTCGGTGAATGTGAGCCCTTTATCTCAGGCAATGCCGGCAGCCTCTCGAATGTACCTCCTGAATATCACCTATCCTCATCTCCCCCCCCTCCCTTCCTCACTCTCTCCTCCCCCCTCTACCCTTCGCCTCCTCCCCCCTTCATCCGATACCTCGCGTACCACCCTGCGCCCTCCCCCCTCTCATCCCGTCCTCTCTCTCCCCTCCCTCTCCGTGCGTCCGAGACCCGTCTCTGGCCAGTCTTCTCTCTCTCCTCGCTCTCCTCCCCCCGTGTCCCTCTCTCCTCCCGTCCTCGTCCTCTCGCTCCGTTCCTCTCTCTCTCTCCTCTCCTCTCTCTCCCTCCCCCTCTCTCCCTCCCTCTCTCTGCCCCCTCTCTCTCCCTCCCTACATTTTTCCGTTAATGCAGCTAGGCTTTGTGGCGGAGGCGTTTGACTCCCGTTTTTTCCATTGCTGCCTGTCTGTCTGGTGGGGATGAGCGATGTAAAACATAGATCCCTAATGTCTGCTGCAGGGCTAATGGGCCAGGTGTAGCAGGCTGGGCCAGGGTACTGCATTACTATATTATACAGCCTGGCTTTATAGGGTTTAACTATGCCTTATAAGCTTAATACAGACAGGGCCATAGGGTCACAGGGAGGGTGCAGTTGGTGATTTTGGAGGGGCATTGAGCAAAGAATGAAAGAGAAATGGACTATGCATACAGGTGAGTGGTATGAAAATGTATGCACTCACTAACTGTAAGTCGCTATGGATAAGAGCGTCTGCTAAATGATGTAAATGTAAATGTAAATGTAATCACATTACTGTTCACGATGCACAATGTGCTGATTGCTTCTTTTTCCGTCTGCAGCCTTTTCCCTCGTCATTATGTTAAACACCATCAGCCTAATGCCCCAACCCGCCCCTAACTCCTTTTTCTTCTATTTTCTTCTCTCACAGGAAGTGATGTCAGTGGGGGAGGAGAGCACTTCCTGCTACTGTCTGCTGGAGGCTCAGTGCTGCCACCTGCTGTTGGAAAGTCCAGGGCGCTACGCCCTGGTGGGGGAGCCACTGAGCCAGGAGGCTGTGAAGAGATTGAGGTTGGCCGTGTTCGGTAGTGCAGACAACACCAACCCTCTGGGATACAGCCTGAGGGTGTATTGTGTCGACAACACCCCCTACGCATTCCAGGTATGGGGGGGGGGGGGTCGGACGGGCTGGGTGAGTGGGTGGATGGATGGGTTGTGTGGGTGGGTGGGTGAGTGGATGGATGGATGGATTGACGGAAGGATGGAAGGATGGATGGTTGGCTGGCTGTTTGACTGACTGACTGACTGACTGACTGACTGACTGGATGGTTGGCTGGCTGGCTAACTGTATGACTGACTGGCTGACGGATGGACGGATAGACTGCCTATCACACCAGTTTAGGCTGTGGAGTGATAGGCAGTAGAGGGCTTTCTGAGAACATGAGATGTTATTGCAGTAACCCTCGTCTAAGAGCTAGCCTGCAGTGGTAGATTTCAACTGACAGAATAACTTTAAGAAAGTACTATGTGAAGGTTATACACAGGACAGCTTGCTTGAAGGAGAGTGTGTGTGTGTGTTTGCGTTTGTTTCTATGTGAGTGTATTGGTGTGCATGTGTATCCGTGTATACATGCTCGGGACCCACATGTGTGTGACCTCCTTCTACCCCCTGCAGGTGTGTGTGAGTGTTTCTGAGACAATGTGTCCAATTGCGTGAGTGTGTCGCTGCTGGTGGTTTTGCCCAGAAGAGGTTTCTCTGTCTGATTTTCGCGCTCCACCAGATATCAGCCAGTCCAGTCACACAGCCAGAGAGAGAGAGAGAGAGAGAGATGTTACTGGATGATTAGGAGACGAGGAGGGACTTTTAATTACAAAGACAAGAGACAACAATGCAAAATGTCCTCCCCTGCCTTCTTTCTGGGGCTTAATTGAATAATTGCAGTGTGTTAATTAAAGGTGTTCTAGCAGGGAACGCACACATTGCAGTCGGAGGGCGGGAGAGAGAGAGAGAGAGAGAGAGAGAGAGAGAGAGAGAGAGAGAGAGAGATAGAGAGAGAGAGAGAGAGAGAGAGAGAGAGAGAGAGAGAGAGAGAGAGAGAGAGAGAGAGAGAGAGAGAGGTCAGGGAGAGTTGAAGAAGCTCTCATTCGATTATATACACTCAGTGGGCAGTTTATTATGTGCACCACCCCATTCACGAAAAGACAGTGAGTCACGTGGCCGTGGCTTGCTATATAATTCAGGCAGACAGGCATTGAGGCATTCAGTTACTGTTTGATTGAACGTTAAAATGGGCAAAACGAGTGACCTTGGCGACTTTGAGCGTGGTATGATCGTCGGTGCCAGGCGCACCTGTTCCATCAGAAATGGCCGGCCTCCTGGACTTTTCACGCACGACAGTATCTAGGGTTTACCGAGAATGGTGCGACAAACACAAAACATCCAGTCAGCGTCAGTCCTGGGGGCTCTCATTGATGAGAGGTCAAAGGAGAATGGTAAGAATCGTGCTAGCTAACAGGCGGACCACTAACAGACAAATAACGGCGCAGTACAACAGTGGTGTGCAGAACGGCATCTCGGAACGCACAACTCGTCGGTCCTTGTCACGGATGGGCTATTGCAGCAGACGACCACACCGTGTTCCACTCCTATCAGCTAAAAACAAGAAGAAGCGGCTCCATTGGGCAGGCAATCACCAACAATGGACAATTGAGGAGTGGAAAAACATTGCCCACCTGGTCCGAGGAATCCCGGTTCCTGTTGCGCCATGCTGATGGCCGAGTCAGGATTTGGCATTAGCAGCATGAGTCCATGGCCCCATCCTGCCTGGTTTCAAAGGAACAGGCTGGTGGAGATGGTGTAATGGTGTGTGGAATATATTCCTGGCACACATTAGGTCTATTGATACCAATTGAGCAACGTTTGCGTGCCCAAAGAATTCAGGCTGTTCTGGAGGCATATGGGGGTCCGACCCGGTACTAGATGGGTTCTCTCTTTAGTTCTGAGAAGAGGTGATGTATGAATGGTATACAGTGAAGAGTAGCTATGGCCTTTTCACACAAACTAATTTCTATCGTACTCACATTCTCTCTCATAATGATACCCTTTATCCTCTTTTTGCCTCGTTCACAAAAATGGCACACACACACACTCTGAGGTATGCACCTGTGAGCAGTGCAGTCACACACACACACACATACACACACACCTACACACACCTCTGACAGCAGCCAGTTGCTTTGAGGCTGTGTGTTATGCTCCAGAGAGGTTGTGATGTGACAGAGCTTGGCTCACTAGAGCAGCTTGGGTTCTATCCGCATCAGTCAGAGGGGAGCCATGCATGGTGAATAGAGAGAGATTGCATTCGGGAACCCACCAGCCAATTCTCTACGTCTCTCTCCGTCACTCTGCCCTGTTTATTTGTTCATTTGTCCAGTTTTGGTGGTTTTTGTTTGAGCTTCATACGACAAATGATTTCCCTTCTGATGCCGAGCCAGGAATCGATCAGGGGCGATTTTGTGATGGAGACGGCAGACAGACAAACACGCAGACACACACACATGTATGCACACATACACACACACATACCCACACACATGTACACACACACACACAGACAAACACACATACATGCGTACGCACAGACACACACAAAGACACACACACACTAGTGTCACACACACACTCACACACTAATGCTCCCGGTCTCCATAGAGAAGCGCAACAATACCCACAGATGAGAACCCAGAAAGCGCGAAATCACCTAAGTCCTTTCATCAATAGCAAACACCATTCGGGAAGATCAGGCTTGATTTCTGTCTCTGTGTGTGTCTGAAACAACATTTGAGGGTTATTGTGCTCTCTGATCTTATTCATTGGACGTTTTGATGCCAGGATTGCTTCATTTATTCTTTATTTGTTTGTTTGTGTGTTTGGGGGGTTTTATTCTATGCGTGAAATTATTATGGAATGATTTCTAGTTGTTGAGAAATGCCTTTTAAGCAATTCTTCCACTTGCTTTCTCTTGAAGAGGAGGCTAACTGAATGCCTAATCTGCCCATGAGCTGTTTAATTCAACTGTTTAGAGCTGTTCAGATCTTCAGGGGGGAGTTAGTTGTTCAGAGTACTGTTTCTTAATTCAGTCCAGATAGAGTAGAGGGGTTGTATTAATGACTGAGTAATATTGGTTTTCTATGTTGTGTAATCTAAACTGTACTGAAACGCTGTAAACACACACAAAAAAACGTCATTCTCAACCCTTTTATCTCACCTTTCTCTCCTCCACTCATCTCCCTTCTCTCTCCCACTCTCTCTCTCGCCCTCTCTCTCCCTCCTCCTACCTCCTTCCCCGATGTCCCTCTTCCCCCCAACACCTACGCCTCTCTCTCCCTCCGTCTCTCTCCCTCCTCCCTCCTCCCTCCTTCCCTCCCCCTCTCCTCCTCCTCCTCCTCCTCCTCCTCCTCCTTCACCCCTGTTCTCCCCTCTCCCCCTATCAGGAAGTGGAGTCGGCAGAGCGGCTGAGGGGCGGTCGTCTCCTGGAGGAGCCCAAGACGCTGCTGTTCAGGGGGAACTCCTTCAGCCTGCAGCTCTCCATCCAGGACATCCCCCAGTTCCTCTGGAGCATCAAGCCTTTCACCACCTGCCAGGTAGGGGAGGGCAGAGTGTGTGTGTGTGGAGGGGAATTGTGTGTGTGTTGAGAGTGAGTGTAGGGGTATGTGGGTGTGGGGGGGGGGGGGGGGGGTTGCAGGTGCGTGTGTGCGTGCATAAAAACACCATAATTTGAGAAACCTCCCTTCCATCAGAGTATCAACATCCCTTCATCAGTCTTCTCCTCCATCAACCATCCCTTCATCAGAGTCCTCTCCTCCATCAACCATCCCTTCATCAGAGTCCTCTCCTCCATCAACCATCCCTTCATCAGAGTCCTCTCCTCCATCAACCATCCCTTCATCAGAGTCCTCTCCTCCATCAACCATCCCTTCATCAGAGTCCTCTCCTCCATCAACCATCCCTTCATCAGAGTCCTCTCCTCCATCAACCATCCCTTCATCAGAGTCCTCTCCTCCATCAACCATCCCTTCATCAGAGTCCTCTCCTCCATCAACCATCCCTTCATCAGAGTCCTCTCCTCCATCAACCATCCCTTCATCAGCGTCCTCTCCTCCATCAACCATCCCTTCATCAGTCTTCTCCTCCATCAACCATCCCTTCATCAGAGTCCTCTCCTCCATCAACCATCCCTTCATCAGCGTCCTCTCCTCCATCAACCATCCCTTCATCAGTCTTCTCCTCCATCAACCATCCCTTCATCAGAGTCCTCTCCTCCATCAACCATCCCTTCATCAGAGTCCTTTCTTACATCAACAATCCCTTCTTCTTACTCTGTGGTCACAGCAAAGAGCAGGGACTGTGGCAAGGGCACATCAGCAGGGGACAATAACTATCTCTTCCACACACACACAAAACAAAATTAATTATGACTTCCAGGCACACACACACACACAGACACACATTTCCTTATCTTCCCAGGGGTGTGCGTGGTGCATGTTCTGTGCTTTTCTGTGATGTTACGCCCTTCAGTGACATCCCATTAGAATAATTAGCCAGAATATTAACCAGCTCTCCTAGAGCAGAGAGAGATGAAAGAGAGAGAGAGAGAGAGAGAGAGAGAGAGAGAGAGAGAGAGAGAGGGTGGAGGGAAAGAGAGGGAGGGAAGGAGGGAGGGAGGGAGGAAGGGAGGGAAGTAAGAGAGAGAGGAGAGAGAGAGAGAAATACCTGAGGCAAAGGTCAGGGAGAGTAGAAGAAGCTCAGTGAACAGTTTATTAGGTACAGTGGCTTGCGAAAGTATTCACCCCCCTTGGCATTTTTCCTATTTTGTTGCCTTCCCTGCCGATGGTGTTTTCGGGTGATGAGAGGTGTTGGGTTTGCGCCAGACATAGCGTTTTCCTTGATGGCCAAAAAGCTCAATTTTAGTCTCATCTGACCAGAGAACCTTATTCCATATGTTTGGGGAGTCTCCCACATGCCTTTTGGCGAACACCAAACGTGTTAGCTTATTTTTTTCTATAAGCAATGGCTTTATTCTGGCCACTCTTCCGTAAAGCCCAGCTCTGTGGAGCTCCTTCAGGGTTTTGTGTATGTCCATTCCATGTAATGCAACAAAATAGGAAAAACGCCAAGGGGGATGAATACTTTTGCAAGGCACTGTACACCACCCCATTCACGAAAATGTTCATCCTACCATACTACCAGTCGCATGGCCGTGGCTTGCTATATAAAGCATTCAGTTACTATTCGATTGAATGTTAAAATGGGCAAAACAAGTGACCTAAGCGACTTTGAGCATGGGATGATCATCGGTGCCAGGCGTACCTATTCCATCTCAGAAACGGACGGCCTCCTGGATTTTTCACACACGACAGTGTCTAGGTTCTACCGAGAATGGTGCGACAAACAAAAAAACATCCAGTCAGCGGAAGTCCTGTGGGCGAAAACAGCTCATTGATGAGAGGTCAAAGGAGAATGGTATGAATCGTACAAGCTAACGGACGGGCCACACACAGGGCAAATAACGGCTCAGTACAACAGTGGTGTGCAGAACAGCATCTCGGAATGCACAACTTGTCGATCCTTGTCACAGATGGGCTATTGCAGCAGACAGCCACACCGGGTTCCACTCCTATCAGCTAAAAACAAGAAGAAGCGGCTCCAGTGGGTACACGATCACAAATAATGGACAATTGAGGAGTGGAAAAACATTGCCAACCTGGTCCGACGAATCCCGGTTCCTGTTGCGTCATGCTGATGGCTGAGTCAGGATATGGCATTAGCAGCCATGGCCCCATCCTGCTAGGTGTCAACTGTACAGGCTGGTGGAGGTGGTGTAATGGTGTGTGGAATGTTTTCCTGGCACACATTAGGTCCCTTGATACCAATTGAACAACATTTCTATGCCCAAAGAATTCAGGCTGTTCTGGAGGCAAATGGGGGGTCCAACCCAGTACTAGATAATAACTGGCCACTGAGTGTATATCTAAGATCTAATACATTACTAGTTTTATTCTAGAGCTGTACTCCAAGTCTGCATCCCATATAGCATGCAGTCTATTCCCTTCATAGTGGACTACTTTTGACCAGAGCCTTGTGGGTCCTGGTCAAAAGTAGTGTACTATGAAGGGAATATGGTGCCATTTAGAATGCAGCCTAAATATGTACTCAATAGGAAGCTCTCAGTCATTATCTATCATAATGTTATTTGAAGGATCCCAAAAGAGTCTGATTCGTAGTTGTGTTTGTTTAACATTAAAACTATGACCACACAGTATATAGGAACGGAGTTGACTTTTAAAGACAGAATGTTGACTAAGCAAGTCATTTCAGACTGGCCATCTCCAATTCCGTTTGCTTATGGGTACACAACCCAATCCCCAAGAGGCTGCTGATTGTATTCCCTTCATTGATTAGCAGAGGTCGTTGAGTGGCTAAAGAAACCATTGACCTGGTCTGGTCTGAACTAATAATTAAAAGGTGAAATAGAGGAAAGGGGGCAATGCAATTAGCTGGCATTCAGGCATTGTATTTAGTAAATATTGTCATTCAGGGTCTGTATTCAAAATGTGCCTCCGAGTAGATGTGCTGATGTGGGATCAGGTCCCCCCTGTTCATGTAATCTTATTCATTATGATCTAAAAGGCAACATGGATTCTATATCAGCACTCCTACTCTGAGACTCTTTGTGAATACTGGCACAGAGCTAGATTAGGTCTATAGTTTATTTAATGTATTGATCTCTCTCTCTCCCCTTCTCTCTCTCTCCCTCTGTCTCTCTCCCCCTCTAGGAGTTCTCGTTCTCTCAGGTGTGGGCTAGTAACCAGCGGCCCCTGCAGTGTGCCTTCTCATTGGAGCGCTACAGCCCCGCCTCCTCCCAGCTGTCCTGTAAGATCAGTGTGCGTCAGGTCAAGGGTCAGGAGCAGATCCTCCAGGTCTACACCTCTGTGGTCGAAGTAAGGGGAGGAGTGTGTGAGGGAGGAAGAGTGTGTGTGTGGGTGGAATTGTGTGTATATATGGCAGGAAGTGTGTTTGTCGGGGGGGGGGGGGGTTGTTTGTGTGTGTGTGTGTGTGTGCAAGTGCGTCCATGTGCGTTGTCCGTCTGCATAATTGTGTGCGTGTGCGTGCATGTGTGTGTACATATGCTCGAGTGTGTGTGTGTGTGTGTGTGAATCCAATATGGAGGTGATGCTGTGATACTAATAGGCTCTCTCATTAGAGTGAATCTCTCCTGATTTGACTGAAGGGCTTTTCTTAATGAAGCTCGCAGGGGCCTCTTGACATCTAGATTTCATCGATTTAACTCTTTGAAGCCATATAATCCTCTGTTATCTGTAGAAAATAAATGACCACTCTGACACCTCTTGTTTTTATCCTGCAATGGTTTCTTCCTCCAGTGTGAAAAGGAGGTAGTCCCCTTCTTCACTCAGTCGAACTGTACCACCACGTCGCAGACGGGGTCCAGGGCCTTCAAGATCCCCCTGTCCATCCGCCAGAGGATTTGTGCCACCTTCGACACAGCCAACGCCAAGGGCAAGGACTGGCAGCTGCTTGCACAGAAACTCCACATAGACAGGTGAGATACCATACGCACTTGCACGCACACACACACACACACACTCACACATACTCCCTGCTGTACTATACACCCAGAAACCCTGATTCCCCATCCTTGATTGGTAGTCCAACTGTTATATTGGCCCCTTCAATGTTCATCATGTTTGACTAGCAGCCACTATTTTAGTCCATTTAATTTAGGGAGTCTAATAAGTTGTATTGAGCTGGATTAATAATGATACTGCAAGGTCCAGCAATGTGTCTAAATTCTATTTTGTTGCTCTATTGGCTTGGTCAATGTGATTGCAAATGACTCATTTTGAAATGACAAAATTAGAGAAAGGATCAACCTTGATTGCATCAACTCTGTCCACCAATTCTCCACATGGATGTGCCCAGTCATTTGCATACTGGTTGGCTTTTTATCTGGGCCTTCACCACTGTGCCAGTCCTTATCTGCTATCACCAAGCAGCCCTACCAGAGACCAGGTCACAGACACACTCTGCTGATCTCATTATAGATCTGTACACACACACATACACACAGTCTTGTATAACTAACCTTGTGGGGACACACAATTCAGTCACATTCAAAATCCTATTTTCCCTAACCCCCAACCCTAAACCTAATTCTAACCCTAACACTAATTCTAACCATAACCCTAAACTCCATAGAAATAGCATTTGACCTTGTGGGGTCTAATAAAATATCCCCAGTTGGTCAAATTTGTGTTTGTTTACTATTCTTGTGGGGACTTCTGGTCCCCACAAGTATAGTTAAACACGTCCACACACTGAGACAAACACACACACACACACACACACACACATATACACACACACAAACGTACTGAGACACACTCAAACACACAATGGTTGGAGGAGATTGTGTATTTGGGTAAACTGCAGGAAGGTCTCAGCCTGGAGCTGTAAGGGGAGAGAGCGAGTGCATATTAAAACACTGTCCTCATTAACGACATCTCCACATGCGTCCATCCCTCCTTCTTTCCTTCCCTCCATCCCTCCCCTGTAGAAGTCTTTCTGGTATAGGTGCCAGAGGGTTATTTGTTAAGGATGTTGGAGATTTTAGCAGTTCCATAATGGGTGATCTCTATTCCCTCAGCAGAAGAAGAAACAGTCAATAAGAAGTGTGGAACAGTCTTTGAGGAGTGTGGAAAAGGGGAACAAAGTTTACTGAATAAAAGGGTGACATAAGCCAAGTGACCAGGAATTTCCATGTGCATCAAATCATTTTCCAGCAAACTGTGTCGGAAAACAAACATGGGGCATTTCGGAATGGGAGAAGATTTCGGGTGCATTTTCGACCCAGTGGAAGCCACCAGCAGCATGTAATGAGAATGTCTGTACCTTGTTAAGCGGATTTTTGCAATTATTTATCTTGGTATGTGGGAACATCATCACCATGCCTGAGACAAGAATGGAGGGAGAGCTCCACTGTAATGAAACAGTGCCTTCTGGTGGATGTGAGTTGTAACAACAGCTGAGGTGGTGCTATAGCAATGAGGGAGTAGGAAGTTGAAGCTGAATTTGATATTCAGGATTTTGACTTTGATATTCAGCATAATGATCTCAGTGATATGCATCTCTTTCTTTCCCTCTTCCTTTTCATCATCCCCTTATTTGTCCAGTGTCTCCCAAACCTCTTCCTGAGTAATCCCAGCCAGTTCCTTTAATTGGATCTATTCCAGAACAAGCATACATTTACATTTTAGTCATTTAGCAGACGCTCTTATCCAGAGCGACTTACAGTTAGTGAGTGCATACATTTTTCATACTGGCCCCCCGTGGGAAATGAACCCACAACCCTGGCGTTGCAAGCGCCATGCTCTACCAACTGAGCTACAGGGGACCTGTATCATCTGGTTAACTACTCATCAAGCTGTATTCTATATTAACACGCTTTATCTCTCTCTCTCTCTCTCCCTCTCTTTCTCTCTCACCCTCTCTCTCGCTCTCTCTCTCTCTCCCTTCTCCCTCCCCACTCCCTACCTCCAGGAACCTGTGTTACTTTGCAGGTCAGGAGAGCCCATCGGCGGTGATCCTCAGCCTGTGGGAGGCCCAGCACCAGGACACAGGGGACCTGGACTCTCTGGCCAGCGCCCTGGAGGAGATCAGCAAGGTCCACTCCTCCACCCACTCCACCTCCAGTAGGACAACCACGCTGACCACCACAGGGACAACCACAAGGACCACTGCTACCCTGGGCCGCAGCACTGAGGAGCTGGACACTGAGTTCACCTAACAAGGGGAGGAACGGACGAACTGGAGCCCCAGTAGAGGACCACAAGGCTGGGGATGAATGGATGGACCCTAACAAGGATGAGGACGTACAGAGAACTCCAGTGGACTATTCCAGCCAGTGGAGGATTGGACTGAGAGCAGAGAGGACTAAGGACTGAAGGGGAAATAACTAACTACTGTAACTAAAGTCAGACCACCAGGCTGAATGGAGGGGGAATAGGGACAAGAGGACAGGGGAACAAGGGGTGCTACAGGAGAAGAGTACAATGGAGAGAGGGAAAGGGCTGAGAGGGACCAGGGACAAGGATTCAAGAGGAGAGGGGTGCAGGCCAATGGCGAGGGGTGCAAGAGGAGATGGGAATAAGGGAGAGGGGACAAGGGAGAGGGGGACAAGCAAGCAGTGTCTGAGGGAGAGAGGTTCTAGAGGTCCTGCCACAAGAGGGAAGCTATTGTTGTTTAGGTAGACACAGAGGAACTAACTAACCAAGGGACTAAACCACAAAATAGTAAAAAAGTAAACCTCAACTGAACCACAAACCAACAAGAAACACTCTTCCTAACCTGGACTATTAGGCCCTGCCCCTCTAGCCATTCCCCTGGGCAGCCAGAATGCTTTGTGTTACGTGAAGTTGTTGTCGTTTATTTTATATTTATAATATATTTTATTTATTTTCCCTGCACAGTGATGGTGTGTTCAGTGCATAGGCCTACTGTGGAACCAGAGAGAAACAAGGAGCTCTGTCGAAGTATTCAGATGTTGACAACATTTATGAAAAACAGTCAGTTTGACATCTGTCATATGATGTCACAAACATTTGGGTTATCCACACCTAGGCTCTGTTCCAATACCCACAAGAGCATGCATACTACTTAGAATGAAGCATTTTATTGGGGCATGCATTCAGAGTGGTATGCTGGTGTGGATATTGGAACATAGCCAATATGTCATTTTACTGAAGGTCACTGTAAAACTTCTGGTGACACACTAGAGCAGTGACATTAATTAAGAAATGCCTATCTGCTGATGAATGAAGGAGAATGTATGAGGGATGGCCTAAACTTTTCCCTCGCTGTCACATGGGTAAGATCAACACACACACACACACACACACACACACAAGCACATACACGCACACGCACACACACACATAAGCAGAATGGCAATTTGGCATGTTTCTTTTACCTAAATGTATTGGTCAGAAAAGTAATTGAAGTGATTAGAGTATTTATGTGTGTTGTTAACCCTTAAAGGGATAGTTTGGGATTTTGGCAATGAAGCCGTTTATCTACTACCATTTTTACGTATCTGCGTCCAGTATGAAGGGAGATAGTTTCGCGAACCAATGCTAACTAGTGTTACCCTATGACCAGAAGTCTACAGGAACCGCTAGCATACTAGCTGTTCCCATAGACTTCTAGTTGTTGCGCTAATGCTAGTTAGCAATTGCACTAATGCTAGTTAGCAACTTCCTTCAAACTCATTGCCAAAATCCCAACCTATCCCTTTAAACTCCCGCTCCAGTGGTGCTGTAGGCCAAGTCAGAAAAACAAACTAACTAACCCTTAGCCTACTAACAGAAAATGCAAACCCAATATTTTTAATCCTCAAAAAATGCCCCCCCCCCCCCCCCACACACACACACACACACACACGCGCTAAATAATACAACAATTAAACTGTGAAGAACAGTGTACACAACTGTCATACTGTTGTTTCATGGAATTGACAGTGTTTTTACATGCCAGTACCAAACCATAGTAAGCTCTCCAGTCTCCACTACCTAAAGTGCGGGTCACACCAGGCACGTGACAGAGGTGATCCCCACTTTGTTATAGCATTTAAACCCATCAAACACAATAGGAGGAGCTGCAGCTAGGAGATTATGAACTGACACACACTGAACTGACACACACACTCTGGTCAAACATGCATACACACACACACACACACACATACACTATGTGTGCACACACACACACAACCACACACACACAGTTCCCCAATGTGGTGAGGTGTATGCCTAATTGAACATGCAGACAGATGTCACTACAGTGTTCGTCTTAAAGAGCTATCTATACACATGACGTGTGTGTGTGTGTGTGTGTGTGTGTGTGTGTGTGTGTGTGTGTGTGTGTGTGTGTGTGTGTGTGTGTGTGTGTGTGTGTGTGTGGGTGGGTGGATGGATGGATGTGTACGCACCTGCAGGTGTGTGTGTGTGTGTGTGTGTGTGTGTGTGTGTGTGTGTGTGTGTGTGTGTGAGACATGACTTTGAAGATCTGTCTTTGTCCGTTCAGAGAATCCAGCCTAGTGCTAGTATTTGAGTTTATCCTGGTGTGTAATGTATGTATCTCTCGCAAGCTACTGTCTTTAGATCTGTATTCATTTGGAGAAAATAAAGAAAGAGTACTGAGTAAAACCATATCCATTTGTCAGACATATACTGAGATTTTCATCCGAAGATTTATCGCTTTTATTCTGAGCTGCTGTTTTAACATAATCCGCCTTTCCTTACTAGGAAGAAACATACCTTTGAAATCGTAGAGATCCTACCTAGTTCTCATACTGTAATTATTATATTTTTGTTTAGAGTAAAGAGTAACTACTGAAAATAGTTTAATAATGATGATTTTATCCAGAAAATATTATTATGTATACAGTGAGGGGCATTTATCATTAATTTAATTTAATTAATAAAGTCATGAACATTCTGTATACATTGTCTATAATCACATCTTATTTGCTTAGCTTTGTTTTACAACGCTATACATTTTGAATGTTTATGTTAAGCAGGTGAATAGTACGATGATTATTATTCTGCTTATCACTATTTGATGTATATTTTAGCAGATTTCTGTTCTATTTTTTCCTCAACATGATTTGCAAATGTATATACTCTATCATGTTTTGAAATAAATATGCAGTGAAATTCACTTGTTTTCTTTGGTCTGACAATGAGATTTTATTATAGGCTGGGATTTGATCAACAATCGCCTTCTAAAGATAATTTTTGCTTGAGCCAACATTTGCAGTGTTTACCATGAATGCCTTCTCCATGAACACCTTTAAAGACATGCTCCGGAACTTTGGGACTAGTTAGTATTTTTTTTACCTCCCACTTTGGGCTGGATGTGTCAATGTGTAGTTCATACATGCATAATCTATGAGCAGAAGTACTGTTTTACCTCACTCAGTTAGCCACGAGATCCCTAGTTTGAAAGCGACTGTTTTCTAGGAGCTGTGCACTTTAATTTCAAGTGCGCTATAGCGCTGAACTTTGGTGCTGCGGATTGAATCGAGTCCTAAGTTCATGGCACAGGAGGTTGTGGCACCTTTGTTGGGGAGAACGGGCACGTGGAGCGGAATCGGTGGAATGGCATCAAATACATCTAACACATGATTTCCGTGTGTTTGATGCCATTCCATTTGCTCCGTTCCGGCCATTATTATGAGCCGTTCTCCCCTCAGCAGCCTCCTGTAGTTGATGGTAAGTCTGTGTATCATTATCAAACCAATATTGTTATCTCCTTATACCTCAGTATGTGCCATAGAGTGCAGTATGTATAATTGACCACTAGTCGGCGGTATATGCTCTTCATATATCTTTGCCCAGCCATTTTTACACAGTCGAAACCATTGAATTGGCACATACAGACATCTTCATGTGTAGCCCTTTAAATGTCTGTGTAGGATCTCAGTCTACCATGGCACCATGTGCACAGCCAGCTAGCTACACCCTGTCTCATTATGCCAGCAGCCTCAGCACTTGTGGTCCTCTGTAGCTCAGCTGGTAGAGCACGGCGCCTGTAACGCCAAGGTAGTGGGTTCGATCCCCGGGACCACCCATACGCAAAACTGTATGCACGCATGACTGTAAGTCGCTTTGGATAAAAGCGTCTGCTAAATGGCATATTATTATTATTATAACAGGGACAGCCCACACAGCTCATAAAAGTTGAATTAGTAAAACAACAAACATCCCCAACACTTCATAGAATTAGAAGTAGAACGAACATTCCCATTCAAACGAATGTTCTGTGCACAGAATGATATTTAATTAGAGAACATTCCCAGGTTTATTAACTACATAAACATTTGATTTATCCTTTTTGCTACAGATTTAGATTCTAAGATTTAGATTAAGATTAATTAGATTAAGATTAGAGTAGCCCTTTCCTGCAGTCAAATGACCTAGTGGCCTCATGGGTGGAATGTTATTACTTTTCATAATTTCATAATTAATAAACATTATTATTTTTTAAACACCGAAAACAGTTTTGTTATATTTCAGTTTGCGATGTATATAAAGTGTAATATTGGGATGAAACCTCAAAATTGAATACATTTTAACTCTATATCTGACATGGTACAGGTGTCTTCTTTTTTGTGAGCCCATAACCATGTGTGTGAGGTGTAAACTTCTGTTTCAAAGTAGATTTGCTTTAGACTACCAAGAAACACTCTGTGTGACCCTGATTAAGCCCACTGCAAAGGTTAAGCTTTATAATTCTATACTTATCACGGCATCTCTCAGAATTGAATGCCTTTCTCAGACAAATGCAGCAATGGCAAAGTCTACATGCCAGCCACCATAGTTCATGGTGGAAAATGTGAAATATTCATTGGATTCTAACGCCATGCTGTTCTACTCATTCTAAGACTTTGGTCCAGCTAGCATTAGCTCAGTGCTGAGCCCCAGCCATGCAAAGTGTCTCTCTCTCCCAGACGTCATGCGTCGCAGGGCTGGCTACAGCAAGGCCGGCCAGACCAGCTCTCTTTCCCCTCCAGACGCTACACATCCCTGGCTAAACCCAGACCTTCACCCCCTCCCTCCCCCTCCAACACACCCTATTACCCCCCCCCCCCCCCACCCCCCACCCCGCCCTGCCTGGACAACTGCGCTGACAAACAGATTGACTCTCTTCTCTCTCTTTCTCTTTTCGTCGTTCCCTCTCTTTACTTTTCTTTTCTTTCTATGCCGGATGAAAGTTCTCCCACAC